CACTCTTAGCCCGAGGAGTGGGGGGCAATTGATGGAGGGTGATTTGACCCGACCCCTTGAGACGATGACACGTGGACATGACTCAGCACGAACAATAGCTCAACACCACAACCTAACCGCGGCTAAGTAACGAGCCCACAGGGTAGCTCGCTACAACGCGAGCTCGAGGACCTCTAATCTACTGAAAGGGAATACTCCAAGTCTATCCCAGCTCGCGAGCTAGGGTAATCAGCTCGCTCCAACACTTAGGCAGAAAAATTGCCCCTAAAGCAACCTTGAGAGGGGTCACCTTGAAGCACCCCTAGGAGTTCGCTATAAAGTAGCTCACGACAGGGTAGCTCACTACGCAACAGGATAGCTCGCTACAAAGTAGCTCGCGACTAAGCGACGCGATGCTTTCAAGAAGCTTCTATCTGACAAGACCGTACCCGTCAGACTGCGCCATGTCTCCTGGCTGACGGCGTAGTCCCTGTCAATTCAACAGACTGCACCCACGTCTCTCGACAGATGGTGGCGTGCCTGTCCTCCCAGGACGTGTCACTCTCCCGATTGGGTAGTACCCTGCAACGGTTACCTGTGCAGCCCTGGCAGATAACGACTGCGACAAAAGCCCAGTGGCGGTTATGCCCGATTTCACAAGAACGCCCATATAAGAGCCCCTTAGTCAAAGGGGCGGGGATCTGATCTAATTTTGGATCTTGAATCATCTTACCTTACTCAAGCTTGCTCTCGAGCTGATCTGGAGCACTTAGTGATTTAGTGTGACCTACACTCTTAGCCTCTTTACACTCTTTACTATTTTCCCCAGCGTTCTAACTTAAGCATCGGAGTATTCCCACCGGGCAAGTCCCCCGAGAATTCTTCACCGTCTTCTTCTCAGGTGCCATCTCCAATCAACAGCCAGTTAGGAGTGCCCGGATTGTGCAACATCACTTACCACATGACACTCTTTTATTCATCGAGGAGAGTGTGATGTGGCAAGAAGTGGGTAGATTTCTTTGTTACTAGACTCATCTAGCAAATATAGGTGTTCATTGGACGGTCTAGATCGTTAAACAGACCAAAACAAAATGAAATTGGCAGTTTGGTCTGGTTTGGACTTAAAACCGATCTAGTTCAATTTGGGATGATTTCAAATTTTGGTTTGAAGTTTTGGTTTAGTTTTTTGAATTTAAAAGTTAATCAAATCGCAAACCATAATATATATTAATATTAGGGGTGGCCTCGAGCTCGGCTCGTGAAAAACTTTGTTCGACTTGGTTTCAGTTGAGTTTTGAGCCGAGTTCGAGTCTAATTTATAGGCTCATTTAATAATCGAGTCGAGCTTGAGTAGCTACATATATAATAATAATAATAATAATAATAATAATAATAATAATAATAATTTATATATATATATATAATAATAACTAATTTTTTATAATTTTTATTTTTATAAAACATTTTTCTCAAGTCGAGCTCGAGCTCGAGCTCAAGCCTTATACTATTCGGCTTGGCTCGACTCGAATCCACCCATAATTAATATATAAGGTTCGATTATTATATGGAAAATATATGATATCAAAAAAATGTCTCACCAATCAACTGGAATCATAAATGTGGTAGTGAATCAGGTGTTATTTATCAAAATTCATGGGTAGGTTTTGATTGGTCAAAACACTTTTGATACCATGTCTTTCCCACATCATAGATTTTCCCTTTTAACATAGTAACCTTATATATTATATTATATATATGTTTGATAAATTGTAAATGTAATTTGAATGAATAATAGATGACACTCATTAATAATTTAACATTTTAATTTGATATTTGAATTATATTTATTATTTGTGTAAGTATGCATGTTACTTAGGCTTTCTAGTTGAGATAAAAGTCCCAAATTGAATTGAAAATCGAACCAAACTGAGTTAGAAATGATTTGGTTTGATTTAATTTATACTAAATAATTAGATTTGGTCTAAGAATTTCTGGTATAATAATTTATTGATTTGGTTTGGGATCTCTCAAAAGTGAACCATTAGGCAGCCAAACACGGAAAAAGCTTCTAGATTTCTCTGAAACCAGTGGCTATTCATTGTTTTTTTAGCGTTTGGAAATGATGCAAATAAGTGTGAATGCAAATATGTAGGGTGTAAATCAGTCCATATAAATTGCAAAGTTGGGTTAGTTTTGCACCAACAAATTTACATTCTTACCAAATAACTGTAATGGATGCAAGCACGAATTCCAATAAAGCATATGGCTTTTTTTATCAAAAGCCCACTTAAATGCAAATTTACTTTTTTTATTATCAATGTAAATATACATTAAAAAATGTATTTTCTATAATTTATTAATACATAAATATAATATTACCAAACATAGACAAAAGTGAATGAGAGTGCAAATTTATCCTAAACCGGGATTTATACTCCATTTGCATCATTTCCAAAATACAGCCTTAGCAAATGCAAGGCAACAGAGATAACAGATTTTCCATGTAAAAATTAGGATTTTTACTATCCACTCCACCTTAGAATTCATAATTTGATCATACAGTTTGGATAAGTTTAAGGGGGAAAGATTTCCGATTCAGGAAGAGATACTGTTTTTAGGGGAGCTGGGAATAAATAGTTAAATAGATTTGGGAAAATAATTTCGCAATTCTGAGATGGAGTAGACTGTAAAAAGCCTAAAAAAAAAAAACAAGTAAATAATTAAACTAGTAATTAATATTAAATGATCCCTGACCCTGAGCAACTCTCGACTCTTCGCCAATAGGGGAAGAGCACGTTTCTGTGTCTTATTCGTAGGGTTATAACCTTTGTTTTTTATTATGTAACGGCCATGATTATTGCTTCTTCCTTCCTACATCTCTCTCTCTCTCTCTGGGTTTGGAATCGATGGGATCACCGGGTTTCTTTGTGATATGTCTTCTATGGATCTCACCTGTGGAGCTTTGATGGTGTTTTACAATAACGAGATCTCTGTGTTTCGACACGGGACTGAGACAGCGAGTAAGCTTTTGGGTTCAACGCCTCATGATCAGCTCCTGATTAAGACATCTGATTCGTTTGCTGGCTTGTTGTTGTTTGCGATCAGGTTTCTTCTGTTCATGGTAGCGTTTGTTAAGGAGAGGGAGTTCCAGAGCTTCTTCGCTAAGGGGTGCGTGCTTCTTCATGTTTCCATGGCTCGAAGATCTCGCTCACGATTGGCCGAGGCAGGCCGTTGGGGATATTGTATTGGCACTTTCCTGAGTTTTCTTCCTTGTTTACTCGTGGGGGGAGAAGTATGGTTAACTTGATGCGGGGAATCATGGTTTCCTTCTGCTATCGGCACTTCTGCTGAAATGCATTGCTGAACGAAGATAAATCGATTGCTACCTCTGGTGCTTAATCGTGCTGTAGGAGATGGTGAAATTGGAGTTGGAGTCGAAATGGTGTAGAATTACTGGTTTCCTGAAGTGTGGCTCTCGGATTTGCACTGTAAGATATATCTGGTTGGGAGTTGAATCGTATGTTCTTAAACAAATTAGACACTGAGCAGAGTTCGAGTTTGGGTTAGTATGTTTGCCTGAATTCTGTTCAGAGTTTCGATGTGCTTATTTCCTTTCCCCACTTCGAACATATGTGAGAGGCTGTCTATCATTCTTCCTTGTAAATTTCCTTAGAATTAATAATAATGAAATTATCTTACCTCTTCCTCTTAGCTTTAGGTGATATGGTGCTGACTTGTGTTGTCTCTGGTTCATGTTTATCGGGTTTTGGTGATCAGTCGAATAATTTCAAATGTTAAATGTATCCAAAAGTAAAGAAAAGCGATCAGTGAGCTAAGAAGAGGGGAAGAGTACTTTGGAGATGCACTAGTGCGGCTGTGGACTATTTGGGAAGAAAGGAATGCAAAGATCTTTTGTGAGAAGGAAAGAAGTGTAGAAATAGCGAAAGGGTGTATAGTGGTAAGGTAATACATGGGTGAAAACCTTGGACTTATTTTTTCAATTTTCCTTTGATGACATATGGAGGAATTTGGGCCAGGTGGCTGCTAGTTCAACCAGAAGGAATATAACTGCTGTTTCTTGGACTCCTGAGAATGAATACTTAAAGCTTAATTTTGATCGAGGTAGCCTTGGAAATACAGGCCCATCCGTGATAGGGGGGTTTTTAGGAACAAAGATGGACAAGTGGTAGCTCTGTTTTCTGGACCAGCAGGTGTAGGTGACTCAAAAAGAGATGAGATGTTAGCGGTTGTCCAAGTTTTGCAGATAGCAAGACCGTTAAATTTGAACAGGATTGTTCTGGAAGGGGACTCCAAGATAGTAGCGGGCTGGTTACAAAACCCAGAGACGATTATTTGGAAATTCAGGGATTAGCTGAAGAAGATTAAGTCGCTCACTGCTAACCTATCAGTGATGTTTCACTGGCAGAGGATATTGGCCGACTTTCTAGCCAAGCAAGGGGTTAATAGGGATCAGCTTTTCTGGGCTCAGTTGTAATTTTTTCCTCTTTCTTCTTTGCTGCTGGTTGAGGTGAATCTCTCACCTCTCCCCCGTAAGTTGAGAAACTTCCAAAGTTATTTTTGAGCAACATATGATTTCCTGTTGACATGATGTGTCATATTCTAATTCAGATTGAATGACTCGTAATGAAGTGAAGCTGTAAATGCAATCTGTTAGCTCAAAGTCTCCTGTTTATCTTATGGTTTAAATGCATGGAATTGAATAGCCATAGAACTCCTGATTGATTGATCTTCATTTAGTTAATTAATATTTTTCACCTTCCGAGTCAGTAAATTAAGAAACAATTGCTGATTAAACATATTCATTTGATGCTCCCTTGCATCACAAAATGGATTAGTGAATAATTTGGTAAATGTTTACTTGATAATTAGTCTCTCATAAGTTGGGGACATGCTAGGTGTATTACCGTTTTATGGGTGCTTATATCTTGATTTGATATTAAATTTTATATCAAACAAACATTGTCACCAGCATGTTCCCCATATAATCCCTTCATTCATGAGACAAGTGTAAGCTCAACTGCCCTTGCCAGGAAGCAAATCAAAACCCCTGGCCAGTTTCTAAATTAGAAATTTTAGGTTCCAACAGTTAGCTTCAACTTGAAAAGGATACATGTTGCAACCTGGAGCCAGTGATCCGAGAAAGTTAAAATGTAGACAATTTAGATACTTCTCTTTCTAATCGGATTAGCCATGTCACTGAAATAGAATAGTTACTCTAAAAACCAAATAAAGTAACCATTTTATGTCTTTTTGCTTTTGTCTGGGCATGCACTCATCATATCCATAAACTTGAAGCAGATTTACTTGTCAAAAGTAAGCACTCATAACTGTTTCTTGGTTGGTCATTCAGAAAGAGGGACATGATAGGAAAAGAACACAGTTATTTTGGAGGTTGAGGCACACACAACACAACCTGTGCATGCACAAAAACATGCCATTGGGTGTATGCGCATGTAGGAGGGAGATATGTAGCTGGAATTTGAGAAGTAGAGAGCTTGCTTTTTGCATGTATCAGCCAATGTTTGAAAATGCAAAGGTGTGAAATGAGGTGTTCCACTTTCCTAAGAGATGAAATGTAAACCAGAATGCAAGAAGAACAATTCTCCTGAATATGGAATTTTTTCCTTGCAAGTTTGCTTGAGGTATTCCACTATCCTTCATGAGTTTGCTTTGTTGTTCCACTATTTAAAGCACAAGTCATGTAATGTATTCACTTCCTGTACCAAGTGTTTCAGAAGCATACACTTTATACGAAGTATGCTCTTTTTATACTGCCTCTATAATCTATACAGGAGGTATATGCCCCATGTACACCTGTACTTCTCTTTCGTGCTTCCAAGCATTTTAGCATTGCCTTAGGGCTAGGATTGCAAATACTATCTGTTTCTCCAAATTTGAATATGACTCTGATCTGGTTAAGGGTGATTTGAATTCATTCCATTACAAATTTGTTTTGAATGCTGCATGTTTTCTAAAGAGTTATAGGTTCAAGGCTCATAAAACTTATTTTCAATTGATTCTGTTCATGATATACAATATCAATGTCGTAGTTTGGTTTGTTTTATTAATTATATATAATATCTCGATCAGTTTTCGTTTATAATTTATTTATTTTTATCAGTAACAGAGTTTTAGTTTATAATTTAGGGAGAATGACAGTTCAGCCCAGGGTCAGAATTTGTAGGCCCAAAGTACAGTTGGGGTGGGTGCCAGCTCGGAATTGATGCCAATTCACGGGCGGGCCATTGGTGTGTAGGGTGGGGGTTTTTGACATTTTGAATGTTTATAGCTCTGTAGTGGAAATCAGAAATCTGCATCGGGCCTGTCCGTACTTCTCCATGTAATTTATTAATAGCATTCAGTATCTGAGTACACTCTGAATTCAATCCAGATCCAATCTATATCCAATGGATAAAATTCAATTTAAATCTGAATATTAAGGAATCAAATCGGATCTAGGTTTATCAGATTCATTTCAATTCATTTGCAGGCACCCCAGACTTTTTAAAACATTAGTTGGTGTTACGCAGAAAATCATCATAGATAATCAATGGTGCTCCATGTTTAATGACATCTATTTGTTCTTCATTGATACTGATTTTACATTTACCATAGAAACAAACCATTGAGTTGTAGCACTCACATGCAAAGAAAGCTTCTTCCATTTTCTGAATGTTATGATGGTAATGGCTATAACTAATTACTTTCATATTTTCTCCATTTTGTGGTGGAATCATGGTAGAAAAACATGTTTATTTATATGAATTTTCCTTTCTAGGTTTCTTTCTTATGCGTCTAACCCTGAGGGCCTTATAAAGTTCAGCTATGCTGCAATTTGGTACTATTTAGCATTTTGGATGTACTAACTTTCCAGTTTCTTACTCCTAGGCAACAAGTTACTTTGAGGAAACTATGCTTGAAAGTGTTTGGAGACGAATATATTAATTTCTAGGGCATAAATACAGTTTCCCTTGTTGCTTTTTTTGGTACAAATTGCTGGTAACTTTCTAGTAGTTACATATTTGTGCTGCACAACAATACCGGTAGACCAATAAAAACTGTGTTTGTAACAGGATTAACTGAAATACTTTAGTTTTGTTTTGGAAGGTTTCCAAATTTTGCCTTTTCTGTTCACATACTATACTTGGGAAGTTCACAAATTTGTTATTCCAGGTGACAATTATAGTAATTCCTTATTGCTGCCGGGTATGGTTGAAAAACCTCATCCGAGTACTTTGCAACCTTGCAACTTTATTACCGAAACTACTCAGGTAGCCCAGAATTGATCGATATCTTTCTCGAAACAAACGAAAAGGAAACGAAAGATGAAACATAAATCATGGATCAACTAAGCCCTCTCGGGGGCTTGCTTAAGAATAAGAAAGAGGAATCTCATGTAAATACCATGGAATAAGGTTTGATCCTATTCATGGGGATTCCGTAAATATCCCATTCCAAAAATAGAAAGTTCGAAACAATTGGGACCATAATAGAGTCCGACCACAACGACCGAATTGATTATCTTCATGCATAAGATTTCAAAATCATCACAAAGATTCATGGAGATATAGAACAGCATATAAGTTATCATGCTTGCATAT